ACAGCTAGGCCGTGCATTATCCCATATGTATTCGCTCTTTAGCAGCAGTTTTTTACAGCAATATTTAAATGACACCCTGGTCATTCTTGGTGTACCCAAAATGGTCCCACACTATCGACAGGCACTTCGCTGTTTGGTTCCTCTGTCACAGTTCATCTAATGCATGTAGTAGCTTCCGTGCCTCTGATAAGCACGTAATTTTAAGCTGGTGCACCGCTAGTGTAACTTTGTTTTCATTTTGCGCAAGCTGCAATAGTTCCGTTCCGTGTAACAGAAACACTCGGTTTAGGAACCTTTACGATTAATTAACCGTGACGTTTTAAAGCGCGGTTAATCGCGTAACCGGTTAATCGCTGCATCCCTACCGTCAAAATAAAAGTCCGTTTTGATTTGAAGACATTGTGCCTATAACTATTTTTCAGTAGAATGTACATAGCCTACTACTACTACTACTAAAACATTATTGTTTAAGGAATAATCACACAAAACATTTCTTCAATGTTTTAATTTGAGTAGTAAATCTCCTTTGTTTGCCAAAAAATATTGTTTGCTTAATTTTCAATAATTAAAAGATAAATTATAAATTTAATTGACGTTTTATGCCTTCATTTGATAACCAGAAAAATGTAAATACACAACACAGCATTTCTGAGGGGGGAAAAAAATCACAAGGCTACTTTAAGAAAAACAAAATGAATAAATTAAGTTGTTTTATCCATTCAAATAATTACACATGCTAAAACAGAATTTGGTAATAATAAAAAATATAAATAATATGGTGAGAAAAAATAAAACCCTAACCATGTTTAGGGCCCTAAACATGTAGTTTTTGTTAAACTTTTAATAAATTGATGTGAAAATGTATACGTTTCATGATTTTAATTAATTAGACATGCTTTTTAATTAATACAATTTAATTTAACTATTAAAAAAAAGATGAGAAAAATTAAAATGAATTCTTTGAATGAAAGATCAAAAAGATAAACAATGCATTATTTTGCAGTTCAAGTCTACTGAAAAAATGCAAGTCTGTGGTTAAAAAAAAAGTAAAACATTGATAGAAAAAAAGGAAAAACTTGGTTTAATATTTTGCTTTCTAATTTAGTGAAGATCATATATTGTTAAGTGATTTATTTTTAAGTTTCAAGGTGCTTTTGGAGACCACCCAGGGCTCATGTCTCGGCTAATAAATATGACCTTTCAACCTTTTCCACCAGGTGGCGGCATTGCTTGATGCTCTGAGCTCAGTCTACGCATACAAGAATAAGAAGGCGAGAGCAGAACAGCATGCCAAGCACAAAGAATTCCTGCAGCAGAAAGAGAAACAGGATGCAGAAAGGCAGAAGAGGCTGAAAGAAGAGAGAAAGAAGACCTACCGTGCAATGGGACAGAAAGAGAAGAAGAAACTCAAATCCAGCCTGAAGGGAGCATCCAAGAACAATTGAGTCTACCTCACACCTGATTCTGTTAATCTGTAAGTCCAGGACAATTGGATCAGTGTCTGTTAGGCTCTTAGTTGGACTGTTGCGCCATAATTCGATTCCCACACCGGCTGCTGTTTCTGAGCTGGCTCAAGAGTCGAGATGATGACACTGCAGCAGACCTTGAAGTTTTTTTTTTTGACCCTGGTTTTGCTGAAGTCTTTAGAAGATACAATCTCCCTAGAAACAAGAACAATAAAACTGCCTGGTTAACGTTTAGTGAATCTAAAATTATTTTCTATAAAAAAAAAACATATATGCTAATGATTTACAATAAGGTTCAATTTGTTAATATTACTGTATTAAATATAATGAACTAACAGTGAGTATTTTTACAACACTGATATTTATGAATTAATCTTCTAGATTAATCAAAGTTGTTCATTAATTCATGTTTATTTATAATACATTAAGAAATGTTAATTTGCATAACTTGTTAAAATATATTAGTACATATACAGTGGTGTGAAAAGGTTTTTGCCCCCTTCCTGTTTTTGTAAATTTTTTGCATATTTGTCACACTTAAAAGATTCAGATCATCAAACTAATTTTAATATTACACAAAGATAATGCAAGTAAATATTTCTTTTATTAAGGGAAAAAAGCTTCTGACTATTCTGTTTAGGGCGGGTTATCTAAAATAGATTATGTTGTAATAATAGACTGTCATGGGAGACTTAATTGAAATTTGTCTCTGTGAACAACTGCACCGAAAACACTGGGAAAAATAGTGGAAAATATGTCTTAAAAAAAGAACTACATAGAAAACTAATGAAAATGACAAAAGCACATACTATTTATAAAAAGTCAACAAAATTTTTTAATAAAAATATTAATATTAATAAATATACTATAATAGTACATTATACAGTATAAATATTACTAAAAATAACACTGCAATCAGGTAAATTCAGTCATTGGTTCCTCTTTGTGCAAACCTTGTAAACATCACTTTGTATTCAGACACCCTGGTCCATTTCTTTTTGTTATTAGGGGTTATTGGTGGTTGTTGTTCCATTGTCTGGCTGGGATTGTATGGTAACCCATACTGTTGAAGGAAAGCTGATTGTAGTGGGTCTGAAAACACTGCATGCCCACTGCATGGGTTTGTTCAATGCAACTCTTAACAGTTTTAAGTCTAAGTATCTTTTTATTGCTTTTCTTTTGTTGAGTGTAGATATACAAATTTTTCCCAAGGTCGCCCATTTTGTCTCGCCATCATTTTGAATTTTATTGCTAACTGCTGTCTTTTAAGTGTATCTAATGAAAGTTAAGCTTCATTGAAAACATGTTGTAAGGGTGGCATGGCAGAAAAAGCTGTAGTAGCAATAGCTACATTTTGTGCTTTCCTTAGCAAGTGAACTTATGGCAGAAGGTTGTTTGTTCCAACCCTCGTGAACGATCTGTTTTACAATGCACTTTCATAACTTTTGGCCACATGCCCTGTAATTGTTATAACTGCAGAAGTTTTTATTGCATTTTTTCTTATATTATCATGCTGAATTTGAATAGGCATATCATTTTTAATCTACTTGGACATGTTTGGGTAAAGCAGGTGCTGTGAAGATCAGTTTAAGGTCAGTTTAATGCATGTCGGCGTCATGTTACATTGGCTGGCATTTGACCGGAACCCTTTGTGTCCAGGCTAATGGCTTTGTTACTTTTTTATGACTGTCATCGGCTGCCTGGTATATCAATAAGTATCTCATTTTCCATTCCCCAACAGTCTTATCAATCGCTGATGGCCATCGGAAAAACACCTGCTTGACTGGAAATATATGGGTAAACTGAAACGGCCTTTTCCATGATTCTTTTCATCACAGTTTCTCTGTCTGTCACCCTGCACCTCTACTCCACTCTACCCTGTGTTTGTCAGGTCTTTGTCAGTGCTGCTAGATGAAAGAGCTCCTTCCTCTTGAACAATGTGCAGATTAGCAAGGTCAGCCATGCACTTCACAGAAACCCGATCCCCCTTTACGCCTCTGTGTGAGTGCAGTAAGTCACAGAGGTAACTGTTGGTGCTCAGGGACATGGGACATGCGGAATCATAGAGGGACACTTGTGTAGGCTGGAAAATTACAGGGGTGAGGTGGTCACACTACATTTGAATATGCACAGACATTTAATTTTTAGTTGCAGCTTGCTTACCAATGTATCCATTTGATTAACTTATATTTTTGCCCGACAGAAGACCTGCCTACCTGACAAAAAAACTTGCTTAAAGGAATAGTTCACCCAAAAATGAACATTAACTCACCCTCAGGCCATCCAAGATGTGGATGAGTTTTTTTATTTTTTTTCATTTGCAGAGATTTGGAGAAATTTAGCATTGCTTCACTTGCTCACCAATGGATCCTTTGCAGTGAATGGGTGCCGTCAGAATTTTAGTCTAAACAACTGATAAAAACATTACAATAATCCACAAGTAATCCACAAAGTCTCATGAAGTGAAAAGCAGCGTGTTTGTAATAAATTCATTAAGGCGTTTTTAACATAAAAAATCAGGCACTGCGTAATATCATTGTGCCTGCTGCACCCATGGTACGGCAGCAAAGTTCCTTAATTATTCCGCCGGAATGAGAGTATAGTTTCTAGCTATATCGGCGTAGAAAATCGCAACTTTTCATTTTCTGTCGGTCTTAGTACACGATGTAACTACAGAAGAGTCAAGTTTTAAATAGGAAAAATATCAAAACTCTGATCATTTTTGAGCGAGATGCTAACGGTCTAATCAGATTCAATGATCTATGCTAAACTACAGTTAAAAGTGCTATGCCAGACCCAGAGATCGGCTGAATTGATTCGAAAACGGTGACACTCAACTGTTTAACTCTAGGGGAGTTGGAAAATTAGCCTATTTTCAAAAATAGTGGAGGGTTCCTTTAAAATCATAATTTATTATTGATTTAAAGTTTAGGGTGTTGCATCATATCCCGTTGCCTGTATTTCCTGTTGGGAGTGTAAATTAATTCTGCATGCTTAAAGTGTAATGTGACTGCATCTTTTTTTATCTCCCACATTTAAACCTGCTAAGCAAATTAGTGCAAGTAAAAAGTGTTTATTTACATTTGACAGAAGAAACTTGGCAGACTAGATAAAAGCTGTGCCATGCTGTTGAAAGGATGTGAAGGCAAGAGATATGGTAGCCAAATTGAGATTCACAACAAGGGAAACCATCACTGAAAAAGCCCTCCATAGTCAGCTGTAGAGCTTCTCTGCCTGCAGGGGTCCTGGAGTAGTTCTCCACCAGACGTGGTGATCACTTCTTCCTGCAGGAAAAGCAGACCATCAGCCAACAAAACCAACGGGAGTTGGAAAATGAGCCTATTTTCAAAAATAGTGGAGGGTTCCTTTTAAATCATAATTTATTATTGATTTAAAGTTTAGGGTGTTGCATCATATCCCGTTGCCTGTATTCTCCTGTTGGGAGTGTAAATTAATTCTGCATGCTTAAAGTGTAATGTGACTGCATCTTTTTTTATCTCCCACATTTAAACCTGTTAAGCAAATTAGTGCAAGTAAAAAGTGTTTATTTACATTTGACAGAAGAAACTTGGCAGACTAGATAAAAGCTGTGCCATGCTGTTGAAAGGATGTGAAGGCAAGAGATATGGTAGCCAAATTGAGATTCACAACAAGGGAAACCATCACTGAAAAAGCCCTCCATAGTCAGCTGTAGAGCTTCTCTGCCTGCAGGGGTCCTGGAGTAGTTCTCCACCAGACGTGGTGATCACTTCTTCCTGCAGGAAAAGCAGACCATCAGCCAACAAAACCAACATCAGTCCTGGGACAACCGAGCATTAGCAACACTCTCAATTCTCTGCATCAAACACACAGATGGAAGGACAGGTGTGCTCGCCACATCTATGTTCCTCATACCCCATGGGGTCTGCAGGCACCCCGTGAGCATGTTTGTCAGTCATCCTACCACAATAGTACTATTCGGTAAACAGAAGTTCCAGCTTACCTTATGGAAGTCAATGAGGTCAGCTAAGGTGGTGTGACGGTTCTGGTCTACACCTAGGAAGCTGTAATAATCACCCGATGCGTCGATGAGGAAGTGCTTAAAGCCTGAGGTGGTGCGGTAGGACAGTGTATAGCCCCAGATCCGTTCACTCACTCTGACCAAGAAAAAGCCATCTGCCGCATTAGCTAGCAAAGCCTCTGACTCCTGCCGTGATATTATTCCTGCAGAGGCAGGAGATGGGTGAGAAGGAAGTGCTTAAAGCCTGAGGTGGTGCGGTAGGACAACGTGTAGCCCCAGATCCGTTCACTCACTCTGACCAAGAAAAAGCCATCTGCCGCATTAGCTAGCAAAGCCTCTGACTCCTGCCGTGATATTATTCCTGCAGAGGCAGGAGATGGGTGAGGGTGAGAGTGAGAAAGACAGATGGATAGCCGGAGACGGGACGAGGCAGAGTGACAGACAAGAAGAGGCAGATATGGAGAGATTTGAGTGAGAATGCAGGTGTTGTGCTCTGATCTTAAGAATAGCGCTGGCAGCGCTCTCGTGTTTCCTGGTCGAATATCATCACTCAAATGGTCGTTAATCTTATCATTGTCCAATCAGAGGCCACACACTCTGGCTCCAATAATCCTGACACAAGTGGTGAATTATTGAGTTTTTCTGTGTGCCTCTTTTTTCATCTCTCTGTCTCTTTCATTATAATTTTTTTTCCATTTAATCAATGTCTTTCCTTCATTGCAACCACTAAACTACTGCTTGTTTTCACTAAACTGTGACTTCTGAATCCATTTCTAAAAAAATACATCAGAGCCTGTTTTATGTGACTCCTGTCAACATTGCCCCAATGCACTGAACAGTGAGAAAGACAGATGGATAGCCGGAGACGGGACGAGGCAGAGTGACAGACAAGAAGAGGCAGATATGGAGAGATTTGAGTGAGAATGCAGGTGTTGTGCTCTGATCTTAAGAGTAGCGCTGGCAGCGCTCTCGTGTTTCCTGGTCGAATATCGTCACTCAAATGGTCGTTAATCTTATCATTGTCCAATCAGAGGCCACACACTCTGGCTCCAATAATCCTGACACAAGTGGTGAATTATTGAGTTTTTCTGTGTGCCTCTTTTTTCATCTCTCTGTCTCTTTCATTATAATTTTTTTTCCATTTAATCAATGTCTTTCCTTCATTGCAACCACTAAACTACTGCTTGTTTTCACTAAACTGTGACTTCTGAATCCATTTCTAAAAAAATACATCAGAGCCTGTTTTATGTGACTCCTGTCAACATTGCCCCAATGCACTGAACTCTTTGGAGTGCAGCGTCAGCGGTACCCTAGCGCCGGTATCGTGCCGCCTGATTGGCGCCTGTAATCACTTTTTGGCAGGTGTAAAACTACATTTTATGGGTTTTATTGGCCAGTTAAAGATATTTCAACAGGTAAAAAGGACTGCATGAGCTATAATCTGTCAAATATAACCCTCGAATGCAATCAAGTCATTTAGCTTATGCAGTCCTTTTTACCTGTTGAAATAGGCCTACCCATAAAACGCAGTTGCCAATAAGTGATTACAGACTCTACTTATTGAGTGAACTTTTCTTTCTGCCTCAAATCACTTTTTGGCAAGTGTAAAACTGCATTTTATGGGTTTTATTGGCCAAACAGGTAAAAAGTACTGAATGAGCTATAATCTATCAAATATAACAGCCATGAATAAAATCAAGTAATTTCGAGTCAGAACGAACAGTTCACTCAATAAGTAGAGTCTGTAATCACTTTTTGGCAAGTGTAAAACTGCATTTTATGGGTTTTATTGGCCAAACAGGTAAAAAGTACTGAATGAGCTATAATCTATCAAATATAACAGCCATGAATAAAATCAAGTAATTTCGAGTCAGAACGAACAGTTCACTCAATAAGTAGAGTCTGTAATCACTTTTTGGCAAGTGTAAAACTGCATTTTATGGGTTTTATTGGCCAAACAGGTAAAAAGTACTGAATGAGCTATAATCTATCAAATATAACAGCCATGAATAAAATCAAGTAATTTCGAGTCAGAACGAACAGTTCACTCAATAAGTAGAGTCTGTAATCACTTTTTGGCAAGTGTAAAACTGTGTTTTATGGATATTTCAACAGGTAAAAGGACTACAAGCTAAATGACTTGATTGCATTCGAGGGTTATATTTGATAGCTCATGCAGTCCTTTTTACCTGTTGAAATACCTTTAAATGGCCAATAAAACCCATAAAATGCACTTTTACACTTGCCAAAAAGTGATTACAGGCGCCAATCAGTTTTCGGCAGATGATCAATTTTCGGCACGACACTGGTCAAGCGTTGTAATGTTACTTGAAGTTCAAACAACTTCAACTGACTCCATTTGCCACTGACCTTTTGAAGCGCAGTCAATGGTTAACAGACAGTTTTCATGATGTATCTTTGCAATCTTTTGGAGTCTTTTTCAACCTTTTTCTTGATTTCCACCTATACTTGTAATTTTTCATACACGATTTTGCCTCTTTCATCTATCTATCCACTGCCATTCAAAAGCTTGGGGTCGGTAAGATTTTATATATATATATATATATATATA